TTATTGTGTCATAACTATATCTAGCTTGCATTTAACTAACATTCTTTTTATTTACACCTTCTTAATTACCATGTTAAGACATGAGTAGAGGGTTTGAATGAGACGGGGACAATAACATATTTGGCTACTAGACTTAACTGTATCATATTAATACCAATTGCTCTCAAAACACTATAACAAAAATGTTTTAACTCTCGATTTCTTGTTAGGTATAAAGGTAGTATTTTTATCCATGATTTACCAAGTGGTCACGACAGTGGATTGTTACAGGATAGCTTCTCCTAAGAATTAATCAAGATATACGTAAGCTTGTCCGAATACTTTAATTAACAAAATAAATAAATAAATAGAATGACATTTAATAGCTATCCTATGATTTTCATAGCATTCTCTAAACATTCTAAAACTGCTATTAATATCCATATTCTGTCTTTTATAACGTTTTTAACATTCTCATAAATGCTATTTTATATTTTATTTTTAAGATTGTAATTTAATATAATTATGTTGCTATTATAATATTGTATATCTATTTAGGCTTAGGTCTCATAATCACTTATGGTTTGTTTTTAAAATAATCAACTTTAGAAATAATCTATTAGGGTAGCACTTTTATTTTTGGGAGATGACATATTAATAATGTAAAAAGACTAAAATAGGTATACAATATTTTGAATTGGTTATTTTCCTATAATTAAAATATATTAAAATTAAGTACTTAAATTAAAGAGTTTGAAATTTTTAAAAAATAGAAAATTGGCTAGCGGTGGCTGACTGCCATCACCGACGAACCTAATAGTGCTAACAATATAATTTAATTGAGATCATTAGGCAACGACTCTAATAGCGCTAACAATGTAATTTAAGTATTTAACTCGTCAAAATAATATTTTCTGTCACAATCGTCGGAGTTGGCTAGCGACTTTGCCGACCAGTTTATGTTTTTAATTTTTTTTGTTAATATAATTTTTAATTTTATTTATACAAAATTAGAACACATGTTTAATTTTATGATATTTTGATAATTGATTTCTCTGAAAGTGGATTTTGATTTCCGAAAACTATAAATACCAACTTTTAAAATCATTCAATAATATAGATTATGTAACTTAGACTCACTCTTAGAGGGCGTTTGGTTGAGAGTTATATGAGATTACTAGGGTTATGTCATATTATAATACTTGATTACCATGTTTGGTTGTCAAGTAATATAAAATTTCGGTAATATTTCAATATCAATAGTAGTTACTATTGGTAATATTGGAGGTAATCTGATAACCTCCATTTTCTTAAGTATCGTAAGATTACCAATGTAATCTTATTTTTGTTACAATTATATCCCTTATTAATAAAATTCTAGGACAATAATACCCTTATTTTTCAATTAATTTACATGAATCTGGCATTTACTATTTCGCCCTAATTGATTAATTTTTTGAACAAAATTACCCTTGAATTTAAAACAAATTGCAGCCCACCCACTTGTCGCCGCCACCCCCCCTACCCACTTGCCGCCGCTTGTCGCCAACCAAACCACCACCGGCCACCGTCGGAAGTCGCCTGGAGTCATCGTGAGTAGCCCATCGTCATTGGGAGGCTTCGATACGGTTGTTTTTGCCATATTGATGGTCGAAAACACCCCTATCGGGGTAGATCTGGCCGGTAATGGCCAAATCTATTTTGGCCATTTCCGGCCAGACCCTTGGCCTTTATCGGCCATATTTGAGTGAGATATGGCCGTTAACGACCATATCTCATCCAAATATGGCTGATAAAGGTCATGGATCTGGCCATTTTCGGCCAGATTTACTTTGATTGGGGTGTTTTCAGCCATCAATATGGCCAAAAACAGTCATATCAGAGCCTTTCGGTGACGGTGGCCTACTCATGGTGACTTCCAATGGCGGATGGTTGTGGCGGGCAGTGGCTTAGCGTAATGGGGGTGATTTTGTTATAAATTAAAGTTTTATATAAGCGGGATATTTTAACTACTGAAATGTTAGGAGTTAAAAAAATTATTCAAAAATTAATAATAAAAATAATATTATATTAATATTTAAAAGAAAAATAATTTAATAATTTAAATAACATAACCACCAATATATTCTTTTTAACCAAATATATTAACATAAAAACATTCTCTAATCAAACGCACCCTTGATAGCACTCTAGATAAATTCCAAAAACAAGTCTCGTAAATTTGTAGAGACCAGAGAAATGGCGCCGGTGGATCGGGAGTTAGATAGGGATGGGTCCAAACTCCCGATTGATTTGCTCAGGATGATCAGAAAACGGCTTGGTAAAATTGAAATCCAAAACATACGCGCTCTCTGTAAATTTTTCCCTTTTTCTTTTTCACCTCCCAAATCCCTAATTCCTCACTCGGCTAATTGAATTCTCTATTCCTTCCCTTCCCTTTCCACCTGCCATAAACTCATCCAAACAACAGTGTACGCAATTCAATCTCTTCATACATTCTCCAACTAATCGATGCCATGAGTTGGGTGATAGAGATGGAAGAGGACTCTGGTGGTCCAACTAAGGTATCCTGTTCCAATTAGTCTTCCATACTTGCCAAAAAAGTTAATGAGGCCGTTCATCTTGTTAGACTATCTAGTAAAAGAATTAGCTAAAGGACATATCATGAAATTGCTTGATGGTGGCCTGATTGACAAATGCAATAAAGTTGCGGTTTACACATATGGGAGCAATTTTCAACTTCTGGGATCATTTTCAAAAATCATGCGAGGGTGGAGAAAAGGTGAGCATGAGTTTATTGCATAAAACAAGGGTAATCATAATATTAGGGAATATGCAATTTTTGATGATATTATTTGCTTTGATGGAAAGTTATGGGGTGTGAGCTCAGAAGGTCTTACGATTATTGTTGATCCATATTCTTTCAATGTTACTGAAGTTGTGCAGTCGTATGAGCCTTGTTGTATGGGCAATAAGTACTTAGTAGAGTCATCAAATGATTTGTTCTTCATTTACGACACCGGGAAACATTAAATTGATATAAAGAAACGTTATAGTAATTTATAGTAATGATCCAGACATGAGGGCTTGTAAATTCGATAGAGAGAAACATCAGTGGTCTCCGTGTTTCGTTGAATTGGACAATTTGGTCTTGTTTGTGGGGCGGCCATTCTGTACATTCCCTATCTCTGCTGATGAGTTGTTCTTTGGCGAGGTGTTCTCTAGGTGTATGGGGAATTGCATGTATTTCAAAGGCTGGCATTATCACGTCAAGGATTATACTAAAGTGGAGGATCATACTAAAAAGGAGGACGATGATACTAAAGAGGTGGATATCCCAGAATATGATAGGATAAATCTTGCCTACCCCAGACTGTCTAAAACATCACGAGGATCCAAACAAGCCGAAGAGGCCTCCTTGTGCTTTCTTACCTGTTGATGATGTGTGATTTTGACACCAACGAAATACGCACTGTAAATTGCTATGAATCTACACGTGAGATGATTATAGAAGTGTTTGTGGTGGAGTGGTGATATATGTTCGAAGAAACGTAAATAAAAATTGACATGAGAAGTTTTAAAGTGGTTTGGATGCTAGGGGTGAGCGATTCCAAGTACCCTACATTTTTCAAGGGAACCGGAACCAGAACCGCATGGTGCATTCCCAAAAAAGGAACCAAAACTGGAACCTATCGATTCTGGTTCTTAAATTCAAGGAACTAGAACCTAAAATGTAGGTTCCGGTTCCTTACCCGGGTACCTTATAAAAAATCAGTTACCCCTTATTAGTTTAAAAAATTATAAAAATACCTTAAAAGTTTACAAATATACCCCTAACAAATTATGAAAACCTATATTTAGTAGTTTTCAAATTTTGATTACTCATTCATTTGTATCTAATGTGACTTATAAATCCTCTAATCTCTAGGAGGCAACACTTGAATTCAATCAATTCATCACAATTTACATAAACTTTCTCAATCAAAATCAAAACACTTGAACTGCTTATTTATACTATTTTCAACTCTATGTCATGAGTGCTTTTGTAAGTTGTCCTGAAGATCTTTCCTTATCTTGATTTGTGAAGATCTTTCATCCATATCCTCAAATTTAATAAAGTGATTAGTGAAAATCTTTCATTAACATCCTCAAATTTAATGTAGTTGAAACATGTATACAGAATCTTCTTGAGGCGTTTAAGGTTTAGACAATTAATGTTGTTTTGTCCTTAAGTGTTTGCGGAATCTTGATTGGTGGTGATGTCTGTTGAGTCGTGATTGGTGGTGATGATATCAGCATATATTTTGGTATAACATTACCTTTAATGTTTTTTGAAATAGTTAACTTGGTAATTTCTCTACCAAATATTTCAATTTCTATCACTCTGGTTAGGTACATAGAGTCTTCTTGAGGCGTTTAAGGTTTAGACAACTAATGTTATTTTGTCCTTAAGTGTCTGTTGAGTCGTGATTGGTGGTGATGATATCAGCATATATTTTGGTATAACGTTACCTTTAATATTTTTTGAAATAGTTAACTTGGTAATTTCTCTACCAAATATTTCAATTTCTATCACTCTGGTTTATGTTGCACGATTGATGTAGATATAAAGAGATGGCGGTAAAATTGGGCACTGTCTTCCAAAGGTCGACACAGATTAGGGCTTGTTTAGGAAAGGTTGATAACGGATTGACCTTTTCACCCTTATTAAAAGTAAAAATAATCATATAAATCCAAAGTAATCATTCATTAATACGAGATTATGAAAAGATATTTGGTTTTCCAAGGGTATAGTTTAATGACGTAAATGCCCTTTGGCTTTAATTGTTAAGTTTAATGTTTGGAATTAAAAATGTAATTCAGCCACATCAAGGTTTTTCAAATCTAATAGAATACAGATACTCCATTATGGCTTAGGAGAAACAAATCGGGTATGAAAGAAATTAGAGGTAACGAAGAGTCCTTAATAATAAATATACGAAGTTGAGTACTACTGTACTAGGTATAAAAGGCCACCACTTTTATGCCAAACCTCGCTCGGTGTTTTCATTCTTCTCTGCACCCAGCCGACGGGAAGAAGAAAAGCTTCCTCATTCACTAGACGTCTCTTTTGCACACGGCGTCTTTTACCTCTCCCGGGCTTCAATAATTCTTGTAAGTTAGTTCATTTATTTATTTTAATTCCATTTCCTTCTTTTCATGATGCTGTTTTCACTCTTTCTTTCTTCTTATTTTTTATTTTTTTACTTAAAATATTCTGAATTCAATTTATTTACTTACCATGATTTGGTACAATTATGTCTTTGTTTACTTAATTTCATCATTATCATTATAATTTCTCCTTCTTGTCTATGTCGTCATCGCTTTGTGGTTTAAGGTAATATTTGTTGAGCAAATTTTTTTTAAAAAATTTTTTTTTTTTATTTTGTAGCGTCCGACTTTGGGACGATGGGAATGGAGGTACAAAATGAGATGGAGAGTTTTAATGTTAGCGAGTCTGAAGTAGTCCACCATGTAAGGGAAGCTCTTACAGCTGTGCCCTCGGTAAGCATTCTGGCTTTATGCTCAATTATTTTCACTATGAAAGATATCCTTCTTCTATGTATTGGCCTGGATTCATCATTCCGCTTGTTAATTGCTTTTACAATAAGCATAATTTGTTTTGGAACAGGGTTGTAGCGACAATTATAACCTACTTGTTGCTATTATGCACCAGCCTAACCATAGGGCTCTGCTTGAGGTACATCCACACCCTTCAATTAGTTCATGGCACTGTTTTTCTCATCATGGATGTCTTAAATACCCTTTTTACGCTAATTGCAGACAAGTTTGAAGGCACTATCTAGAGCAGTTTCTTCGTTGGACATTGTTCACCATGAGTCCCTTCTCACTTCTGTAAGTTGTTACTGGATTTCTGTGTTTTTTCTTGTTTGTTTGGCATTATAAGAGTTGTTATTATCTTTTTTATGGTGAATGTTCTTCAGATTTTTCAAATCAACATCTGGAACTTTGAACCTGGTGAGATGGATGCCATGATAGCCCTGATTATATCCTTGGTATGTGAGTTGAAATCACCTTTCTTTCAAATTTTCAGACACCTATTACAAATTTTATGATTATTTTTATTTTTGTGATATTCCAGGCTTCTTCAGATGGAAAATATGTTGATTCGTGTTTAACCATGCTTGTCAACAATTTCACACCCCCATCCAGTACTTTATTGTTGCAGCCGTGGGGTATTGAAATAAAGAAACAAGTTATTTCTCGGGTGCATGAAGCCTTTGAAAATATTACTAAGGTGGTACCCCTGGCCCCGTTGAGATTATTGCCCATAGTTTTACAGAGAATGCCAACAGTCCGTAATAAGGATGATCGTGTAAGTTTAAATGACTTCTCAATTGGCATTTGTTTTTTTCTCAATTAAATATGTTGCTGTTTGGTATAATTATTATTTTGGATTTTATTGTTGATATAGATTCATGCATGTAGAATCTTTGTTGTATACTTCTCTTGTCACACCGGTTTTTCATTTGGATGCATCAAAATGCAACTCAAAATGCCTCCGTGGTATCATACGTGTTTGTATGAGTTGCTTCAACAGTCTTGCTCACAGAGTCCATCGTAAAGTGGTGTCGTGATCATATGACATACTTTATGCACGTATTTGTTCATCTTTGGTCATTTTCGCTTATGTTATTCTACTTGAATTAGTTCTGGGGTTGTCTGATGTGCACATCTTTCTGAGTTACATTTGGCCAGCTTGAAGTGGGCAAATTTGAACTCTTTACCTAAGTTGACAATTATGTTTGAATTTGCTGTTCTTATATTGTACTCGAATGCTGTTAGTAGTCGTAATCACTGTGAATTATACTTTAAGTACTGTTGTGTGTTGCTATCACAAGTTGTCTATTTATCAATATTGTCTCTAAAATGTCTTCCATCCTTCTGTTTTTTTTCAGTTGAAGATGATTGTAATATATGTGGAAAACATGCTAAAGTTGGAGAGTGGTGAATTGGGGGAACTTGTTAGAAATTCAATGCTAACAGCACTGGTGGATAGGCTGATAGATTTGGATGTAAGTCAGATGAAATTACCTTGTGAAACTGTTGTTGGAACATGCTTTTTGCAGTTATATGTAAGATCTTATGTAATGGAGCTTCTTATAGGTGGAGATTGGATGGGATGATGATTTGCATGATGAATCTGGTAAAGACATATTTGAAATGGACTTGGAAGGTGTGGAACAAGACGGCGATGAGGTACAATCTGTGAATTTCCTTTTAGGCAGAGTTCCTTATTTTCCTGTGAGCATCTCAAATAGGTTCTTGGGATAGGTTATTGTGTTCTGCTGAAGTTTCTGCAAAAGAGTGGGAAGCATAAAATTCTGTCTTGTAAAGTAAATATAGTTGAAGATTTAAGGATGGATTATACGAACCCATAGAAGTACCCTTCACACTGGTTTTTCAAAGTGTATTCATTGTTAGAAGTTTTGAAATGATTTTTCTCATCTATTCTCAACAAAGTTTTTGGTCTGTGCACTTAGAAAATGGTTGGGACTTTATTGAGTGAATAGAGCCTCACCCATTTGATAAATCTCTTTCTTGATGGAAAATAATTGCTTAGGCAGTTGGTTTATGTTTCTATGTCATGTGGAAATAACCTTTTCTTAAACTAATGTGAATTTTTGTACAGCTTCCAGAAGGATCCTTAAGTAAGAAGAGTTCACGTGAAAAGCTAATTGCTGAATTATTAGATAGCTTGATGGAGCTAACTTTTGAGCATCTTGAATCCTGTAAAGGTGATGGTCGTTGGATTAAGGTATTTTCTGAAGTTATATATTTCTTTTAACTTGCTTTAACTTTACTCTCTGGCTTATGTTCTCTGAAAAGAATCATTAATTGTTTTGGTTAGGTATTTGATATTCTTCTCCAGTCATTCCAGATAACTGTTCTGAATGCATACAAGTCGAAATTTGCTCAGGTAATGTATGAGTTGTCCTCATATTGTACTTATTGTCTATATAAATATGCATATATTGGTGCTTTATTTCAAATATTTCCCATCGTTAATTGTATGAATTTTGTTGAACACTGCAGTTTCTTTTTCGTTTTTTGTATTATAGCATGGATTCACTGGTTGTTCTGCTCTTGAGGACTCTGTTATTTTATGATTGCAGTTTGTGATGTTTTATGCATGTGCACTAGATCCTGAAAATTGCGGGGTGAGATTTAGCACAATGTTGGCAGATATATTTGCTAGTGGTGTCCACTCTCAAATTACCAGGTAACATTGATTCTTATTTTGGCTAAAAAGAATATGTTGCTTGCTATTAACTCTCCCGCCTAACATCCTGTTGATTGTTTGACTCTGATTTTTTGCTAGTAAAGAATCAGTTTTTATTTTATTTTATTTATTTGCAAGATTGTTCATGTTCTCTATATTACATTAGACTTTGATTTATATGCTATGGGTCCTACAGACTGCAGTTGGTGCAGCCATTCTTTGGAAATGTGAAATGCTGGGCACTTAATAGCATAATAGGGTTTGGACATGTTAATTGAAGGACTTGAGAAAAAAATAATAGCGTGTAATCTAAGAATGAGATCTACAATTTATGAAGCCAGGGTGTGGGAACTTGCAGATTCGCCAAACCTGGGTGGGAAAATGGCGTTTACTCTATTTAACAAACACCTTTCTCAATAAAAGTTTTAAAAATTAACAAAAACATCTCACCACCCAAAGCCATATCACCCCCTGCCACGCCTACGCTACCACCACGACTATTGGCGTTGGAATGATGCACAATCGGTAGATAGGCTGGTCATGCGTCAATCTATATTTAGAATAAGATTTTATAAATTTATTCAAAAAAGTACCAAAGTAAGCGTAGCTATTTAATTAGTCACTTTAATTTTAATCTTGTGACAATAATGGTTTATAAACATGAATTGTTTCATATCGCCAAATTGGTGTTATTATGGTATATATAGTTGATTGAATTCTCTCTTTCAGCATTAGGAGGTGAGTTCTATCTAAACTAGTGATTTTACCTAAGCCTTGGAAATGGTTCTCATAAACTCACAGGCTTTGGCCACTATCATATCATGCGAGTGACTCTATGTAAGCCATGATTCACCTATGCCCAGCCACTATCATATCATGCGGAGGAATCATCATATCATGTGTGAAAGTAGTGGTGATGTGGCTTATGTTTTGCCACGGTGACGTCAACGTCAAAGAAGACAATTAAATAGGATGCAAGCAAGTGATGTATTTCAAATAAGGATAACTTCTATTGTCGTGTCATTTGATCCATCTTTTTGCAAGCATCTTCATTTCATCCACATCCACTTTGTGAAGCAGGAAATGGATAAGAATCATTTTTTGTTATTCATCTAACGGTTGGAAAATTGTTCATATAGGTGGAGGCTGATCTTAGGAGTGACTCTTGTGTTAAAATCATTCTTGTTAGCTTGGAAGAAGATAGAGCATTCATAAAAAGCCTAGGGGTTTCTATTCATGTGTGTCTTTTTTTGTTTTTTTACCTGTGTTAAATTCTCTATAATACTTGGCCTCTTATGATCAATGTATCTTATTTTGAGCTTGGAGAGTGGATGTAGGCTACAAAGCCAAACCACTATAAATTTTCTGTTACTATCTTTGCTTCATTCCTTATTTCCATGCTGATTATCTGGTTATTGCTTTACTTGGTATTTTACTTAGATGTTATATGCAAGATTTCTTCCTAAAGCCATCCTGTGATAATTCTTAAACTCTAGACTCTAACAAATTGGTATCAGAGCCTAGTTTAGTGGCTTCTGTTAGGGTTTCTTGAGTTGTCTGGGATTTAGTCTTTGGGAGTGATTCTTGCTTGATTGATTTCACTTGATTCTTTGTTTTCGAATTTGAGAATCATGTTACTAAGTTTGAACTTGAAAAAGTTTACAAGGGAGAATGATTTCGATCTATAAAATGAAGCTGGAAGCAGTGTTGATAAGGAAAGGTTGGCTGGCGTTAAAAGAAGAGATGAATTGCTGGAGACCATGATAGAGTCTGAGAAGTTGGACATGTGAATAAAGCCAAAAGCTCCTGATCCTTGGACAGGTGACAAAGTCCTCGGGGGTTAGAAGGAGAAGACAGTTGTGAAATCTGGAACAAGTTAGATTCTCTCTATCAAGCTAGACTTCTTAATAGGTTGTTTTTAAAGCAAAGATTGTTTGGTTTTCAAATGGAATAGAGCGAAATCTGAAAGATAACAAAGATGAGTTTCTAAAAATATCAGGATAAAAAGATTTGTAGAAATTGATATGAGGATCAGGCAGTGATTCTGTTAAAAATCACTACCTAATCATATTTATGTGGAAACCTTGAATATGTAAAACGAAAACTGAAATTAGAAGAGGTTCGAGCGGATATTTCGAACCTAAGGATAGTGAAAATAGGATGAGAGATAAAACACAGTGGTGATGAGGGAGATAGAATAGAATAGGTTGAAATCCAAATCAAGAATGGAAATCTTTCTTTTGCCATAAGGAAGTCACCTTAAGAGAGGATGTCTTGAGAGAAAAAACAAAAACAAAAAAATATGAAAAAGAGGGTGAGGAAGGTAGTGTTGGGGTAGTAGTTGAGGGATATGAAAACTCAAAGGTCTTAGTCATTTCAAGGGTAGAGGTAGAATTAGTTCTTAAATGGTGGGAAAGTTATGATGGGAAATAATGTTGTCGTTTCATATCAAAGGTATAGGTACTGTAGGCTGAATGTTCATAATGGCTTAACTAAAACTCTATTGATGTAGTATATCACGACCTTAAAAGAAACAATTTCATTGGTACACTAGACTCAATTGGCTTGAGTTATAAAGCTGCAATAGTAGTCTTGTGTGATGAAAGAACCCTAGTGATTATGAATACTGAAAAGAAAAATGGGTATATGTGTTTAAAAGGGTAGAAGTTCAAGAAAAAACCTTCATTTGCATCAAAGACTTGCGTCATGTTAGTGAAAAGGGCTTAATAGAGTTGATAAGCAAAATGTGTTGTGTGGAGATAAAACTAAGAGTCTAACTTTCTGTGAATATTGTGTTTTGGTAAATAAGCAATTTAAAATGGTCTGGTCAACATTACTCAAGTTCACATTGAGTATGTTCACTAAGATGTTGGGGGCCATCTAGACATTACTCTCTCGGGGATGTAGATACTTCGTCAGTTTGTTGTGATTTTTCTAGGCATGTGTGGGATTTACTTTCTCAAAATCAAGGATGAGGCATTCTTTAGGTTTAAAGAGTGGAAAATCATGGTAGACAACACAAACTGAAAAAAATGAAGAAAACTTAGGATGATAATGGTCTAGAGTTTGTAAATGAGGACTCAACAATTTCAAAATTCATATTTTGAGACACAAAAGTTAGGAATCCCCACAACAAAATACCTTTGTGAGGGAATGAACAAACTATTTTGGAGAAGGTTAAGAGTATAATGTCTGTTCTAAGCTGCCAATCAAAGTTTGGGTATAAGCAGCACACACAATAGTCTATCTCATAAATAGAGCACCATCCTAGTTAATACGTTTTAAAGTTTTGTGGAAGTGACTAGTCATCCTTGAATCTCGGAAATCTTAGAGTTTTTGGTGTTGCTTATGTCCATTTAGAGAAGATAAGTTAAAAGTTAGAGCTATCAAATTCATATTTTTAGGATACCCAGATGGGGTAAAGGGTTATAAATTCTGAAATTTAGAATCTAAGAAATGCATTATAAGTAGGATGTTGTTTTAAAGAAGACATTTACTGGTCTGGAAAAAAGAGTCTAGAAAATCAGAGGAGGCTTTTGGGGTTAGATCATCTAAATTTGAGGTTCAAAATTCAAAAATGACCATACCCGAATCAAGGTGGAGCTAATGAGATGCAAGGTGAGGAAGGGTATCTTGAAAATCTGGGTAGGGGTAGCAAAGTAGTGAGTGTGAGGTGGAACAGGGAAATCATGAGGATATGAGTTAGACTTGACAAATTACCAATTGTTAAGGGATTAGGATCAGAAGAGTAATTAAACCCCTAAGGTTAGGATATGTTGATCTGGTGCCTATGCTTACAAGTTGAAGAAGAAAGGCGATGAACCCAGACCTTTCAAGAGCTATTCAGGGGTGAAAAATTACAATGGAAGAAAGCAATTGAAAGAAATTTAGTTCTCTTTTGAACAATGAAAACATGGACATTATTGAAAATCGAAGGTTGTAGATGTCAAATGCAAGTGGATTTTCAAGAAAGCCAAGCTTAACTCCATTGAACCACCTAGATATAAAGCTAGATTAGTTGCAAAAGGGTTTACACATGTATAGACTATAGATTACAATGAAATCTTTCTCTCCAGTGGTTAAACAGACATCATTAGGGTTGTTATTCCCTTGTTGTCCAATTCAACTTGAATTAAGCAACTGGATGTAAAGACAGCTTCTTGCATGGTGTATCTGGAAGAAAATATTCTGATGGAGCAGCCTTAAGGGATATAATGGTTCAGCATGTGAAGTTTCCTTCTTAAAAACTCTTATATGGCTTAAAACAATCACACGACAGTGGTACAAAAAGTTTGTTCTTTATGTTTGGTTTTATTTTAAGGAGATTTCTATCTACAACTAGTTTCTTGTTATTGTATATGGATGATATGATGGTGGCTTGTCAAGACACATATGAGTTATCTCGGCTGCAGAAACAGAAAAATGTGAATAACAAGTTTGAAATGAAAGAGATGGGCAAGTTCAAAGTGCTTGGTATTTCAATTATAGAGATAGAGTTCATGAAAGTCTGAAGCTGGTTCAGCAAGATTTTATGCTAAAAAGATTCTAACAAAAGGTCAATATGAAGGATGCAAAAAGTTGTCAACAACTCTTGGCCACACTTAAGCTTCTCATGATCAAGTCCTCAAATGGAGAAAGCAACTTGAAATGGCTAGTTCCTCTGCAAGTGCCTGGGCAGTTGAATGCATTGATGGTTATGCTCAGGCCTATCTTGCATACCGGTGGCCTGTGAGAGGTTTATGAGTAACCTAGGAAAGGTTCATTGGTCTGCATTAAAATGGATCTTGAGGACTTAAACGGGTCTAGTTTAGTAGGCATTGTGTTCAAAAAAATCAAAAGGAAAATTGTTGTGTTGAAGGTTTTGTGGATGCAGATTATGATGGTGATATTAACAGAGGAAGTCCACTTTGAGTTTTGTGTTTGCAATTTGGGAAATTGTTAGTTGGAAGTCTAAAATACAAATTAGGGTCAAATTATCCTCAACTGAATAGGATATGTGGAATGGCCTGAGGCAGCAAA